GATGCCGAAGAAATCCTCCCATAATCAGTCTTGTTAGGTACCCTTGTGTGGCAGTGTAGTGGAGAAGACACGCCAGAACCCTTTCTAGGCGTGTTTTTGATCCAAGGGGCAATGCAGGATTCTTTCCTAGGTAAACTCCTGGTCTGTGGCGATGATACCGAAGATGACCTCCATAACCAGTCCTGTGTTGAAGTGATAATGAAGACATAAGCCCTCAGACGTGCAGATATCTTGATTTGGATGACATATCTCGTTGATCATGATCAGTGTTGAACACCAATTCCAAATTGGGTTATTAGTCCAGTCAAATGGTAGTTGAACGTTACAAAAAATAACTGTTACGAGTTTTTTTCTTAACTTTATGTATTTTGGGGCGCTGAATCCGAATCTGAAGAGATCCAACAAAAATTCCTTGTGCGTTTTGAACTAATGCAAAAAATATGAAAAATTTCGCACTTTTTTCAGTTTCTTGCTTATAACTTGGAAACTATACATTCTACTAACTTTTACCAAATGTGAAAATGAAAGATCATGAAATTTCCTACAAAATACATATGTATCATTCTTTATCAAACGCACAATTAGCCCGCTAGAGCTCACTCCAAAAAGAGAAAATATCACATTTTTGTAAAAACACGTTTATTGCCAGATTTTCACATTTATTACTGAAAGTACGCGTTTATTGAAGGTGGACTATGTAAGTAAATTAAGTTTAAATACTTTACATGTAAGCTTCAATTAGTGTACAACTAAAACATATCGAAACTTATTTCCGAACAAATAGATGCAAAGACGATAATTGGGACCCGATCCAAAAAGACAAAAGTTTTACATTGTTTTAAACACCTTTTTTGCCATATTTTCACATGTATTATTAAAAGTACAGCGTTTCCACTCATCTTCCCTTCTGTAACTTATTTCACTATCTATTTAACTTAATTCTAGCTTCAAAAAAACCACTCTTAAATAATTACTTTCACCAAAAACACCTAAAATTTATCATGAACGAAAGGACAAATATTCTGTGAAACATAACTTGCCATAGTTAGACATTTATTTTTACAACCATACAGTAGCCTATGGTTGGTCAACCTGTAAGTTGAATAAGAAAGCATTATCGTACACAGTTTTAACATAAACAGCTAATTATAAAATATTCTCTTTTTATTTTTTTACAAACATTGACGTGATATAAAACGCCAATTTCACTTGTAAGACGCCTTCACAATCCGTCGTCCCGATTAACTATGGTATGGCACCTTTATATACAAAACAATAGAGCAATTCCTCATGAGAAGTACTAAAATTAAGGGTAGATTTGGAATGTATATAATATTTCTGATAGCATATCCTTTAGATGATTACAAATGCACACATCCATAATTCACATTACCAAAGAGATGGAAAGGTTTTGTGGTGTTCACTTCAAAATCTCTGAGCAGCATGTAGACAGTGTAGACAGCAGAGAATACCGAGTTCAGAGGGACGACACAGAATCCATCAAAATCTTGAAATTGGAATTCTCATGTTGAATGCTATTTATAATACTTAAATGTTCATTAATATGTGTCTCACATCACGTAACATTCCTTTTACATTATGAAACAATTATCCCAAAATGCGTATACCATATTCTAGCTGTTACCCACGAGCTTCACCCCGTTTTACATCATAAGTATTAATAAAACTATTGATTGGTTACTTTAAGCTAAAATAAACAAAAGAGAATACAGTAATACAAACAAATAATCACACCTAATTTTAATAAGGTAAACAATTGAAGAATAACAAACAAATAAGTAATTTAGGGATCGAAGACAAGGAAGCTCTCGTCATATTGTTAAAGCAACTTCCTAATATCCCTCCCTTGCCCGTCAGGGCTTGGGGATGCTTAAAGTGTAACAATCAGTGTTTAAAACAAAACTCACGCGGCAGGGACACCTCAAGCGTCCTCCGACAGTTTTGTTTTTATATTGAAATCGTTCATTTATACAGTGAGCTATTTTCTTATTTGTTATTTTTTCTCGATTCAATTCAATAATTTTGTATTCCAAACTGTTAACATCATTTCTGTCTTTGTACTGATTTGTTTTAAATATTAAATTCAGCATAACCAGTGAACAACTAAATCAGTGTCTTTAATTTCAATTGTCCACCGATAACTTTAAACTCATTAAAATAATTTCATTAATAGCTACCCAGCTATCAGCGCACCAACCACAAGGAAAAGCAAGATATTACTGAACCGTATTGTACAGAAGAACACCAACCGCATTTGAGGGACTCTAAGCAGTGGTCTTCCACTGCAGTGGAAAAAGTCACTGAAAAAAATATTGTCTTTGCTCTTATTTGTTCTGAAATAAATTAGATATTTTTTAATTGTACACTAATTGGGGCTTACATGTAAAGTATTTAAACTTAATTTACTTACATAGTCCACCTTCAATAAACGCGTACTTTCAGTAATAAATGTGAAAATCTGGCAATAAACGTGTTTTTTACAAAAATGTGATATTTTTCTATTTTTGGAGCGCACTCTAGCGAGCTAATTGTGCGTTTGATAAAGAATGATACATATGTATTTTGTAGGAAATTTCATGATCTTTCATTTTCATATTTGGTAAAATTTAGTAGAATGTATAGTTTCCAAGTTATAAGCAAAAAACTGAAAAAAACAGCAAAAATTTTCATATTTTTTGCGTCTAGCTCAAAACGCACAAGGAATTTTTGTTGGATCTGTTCAGATTCGGATTCAGCGCCCCAAAAAACATAAAGTTAAGGAAAAAACTCGTAACAGTTATATTTTGTAACGTAAGGTAGATTTCCACGACGAATTGACTGGACTATATCGCATAAATATCTGCACCGTCCAGAAAGGCATCTTCTCCTATGACGCCATGGCGTAGGCCTAAATAAATATACACATGTCCAATTGAGCAAATCGAGGATTGTTCGTGATTAAATACTGTACATCATCTTTTAATTAAACTAATAAATAAATGTTTAAATGGAAATAATAAATTTGTTGTCAGTCAAATACGGTTCTCAGTCGAGTTTCGGATTATTTCAATCAGCTTCTTGATAAGCAGGCTCATATTCGCTTTCGACGCGGAATTGCCAATATTATCTAAAGGAACGAAGAAATATTTAATAAATGCAAGTAATAAAACTAAAAATATGACGAACCACAGCAGCACCACAATTATGTCAGGTTTGGGTGACGTTGGTGAAGGAACTTGTGCAGGTGACATTGTAGGTGTTGTTTCTCCTGCAAGGCACATCGGTGGAATGAGAATAAAGCGAGGCGACAAGCGAGGCCACTTTCATGTCGTGTGACGCACGAGGCGAGTCGTCAGCCAATCAGAACTGCCCGTCGTCGGGGGGGCGGGGGAAACCAAAATGGCCGCCGCAGATTCCCTCTATTTGGGTTTTTATTCAATAAATACTGCGCAGTTTTTTACTCCGCGTTCCATGCATGTTCTAATACAAGTTTTATGCGTCGCTACGAATTATGTGAAAACGCTGAAGTAGTTTTCTTGCTTCCTGTATAATTTGAGATTATGTTTTATTTGGATAAAAGTATTCTTCGTTGATAATGATGCAATTTATTGTCACTATGAATTGAAATTATATTTATTTATATTTAATACATTGTAGGCCTACTATAAAATATGATTGTACAGGTAGGTACATGAGGCATTATAAAAAATAAGGAACATGCAAGTCACTAGCCTTCGTTAAAGTGCTTTAAAATCCCAATGCCTAGAGCTATTTAGGTTCCGTGACACTTCGTCTGAGTATCCTTATGTCCTATTACTCTCTAATAATGTCTTTAACTTATTTGAAGAAAAAAACAACAAATTGATAACAGCTCAAATAGTAAATTTAAATCTCAAGTAGCCTATGTGAATGATGTTAAGTATTTTCACTATAAACATAACATTCCCTTGTTTACCTAAAGTTTGGTCTTGAAATAACAAGGGACTCGATTTTGTTACAAGTGTTCAGCCCTTATAGACCAAGGTTGAATGCTTCATTGCAGACATAAAAGCTACAGTACTTAATATGGTTTTCTACTTGTTTAGGTCAAGAGTTATATGATACAGGTCGTATACTAATTAGTTGGTTACAGGTTACAGTCCATCTCTCAACATGTTTAACATAATTCATCACCCAACAAGGACACAAATCAATGCAGTTTGGGTTTTGGGCAATCAATAAAAAGCAATAGAGAAATAGAGGTTGTCTGATACTGAACCCTGGGGAACTGAAAATTGATTTTGTGTATACTACCTACATTGCAGAAGATGAAAAGATACAAAAAATATAGTTTTTGGTTTTGTATTTTAGAGACCTCAATGCCCAATGTCAATTCTTTTGCAGAAGATGAGAAGATACAAAAATATAGTTTATGGATTTGTATTTTAGAGACCTCAATCACAGAAAACATCTAGTATGTTTTCTGTGCCTCAGTGCACAATGTCCAATCTTTATGTCTCAAACTATAGCTCATTATATGGTTTTTGATGGAGACGTTATTTTGGTAGGTAGGTACTCAAAAATTTGTCATTTGAGGGATTGAATATGTTTTACCAACTAAGTTTGCAAGCCCCTTAAAGCCAAAGAAACTCACTTGGTCTCCTTGATGCTAGTATGTCCTCCTGAAATCATTTTGGCTCAGAAGTGTATTGTAACTATATAAATAGGGTAGAATAACTAGAATAGTTATAGCAAGATTTCAATCTCTCATTAAACTGTGTAGTTATTTTTTAAATTTCCTAAGAATTTTCCTAAGAATCCTTAGAAGGCGGGTACAAGCCTCCAACTACAAGCGGGTGAAGAGATTCATGGCTTTTCACACACAAAAATTGCTAATTCAAGTCTGTTTGCAGAATGAACCTGCAATTCCAACATTCTTCACGAGGGATGAAATGCTAGTGTATTCAAGGATATAGAGTCTTCGCACAACTCTCTTAGCTAAATATTGTCCCTGTTTGCAGGTATGGTCGAGTGCAGAGTGTCAAACTTCTGCCGAGGGCCAAGGATGACGAAGGGTCGGGCGTGTGTGCGACTGTATCCTTTATGGATATCAAGTCAGCGTCCAAAGCACACAACAATGAGCAGAAGCTCGAGGATCGGACATTGACTACGGAGTATCATGAGCCTGCAGCCATTCCCGGCTCCACTGCACCCATATACTCCTCTCAAAGATTCTCCCATGGGTAAGTCTAAGAGGAGGAAACTAGTTCAGTTTAGGGTCTGCCACCTTGAGAGCCATTTGCTTGGTCTGGTACTTTGAGAGACTAAGATTTTATATTTTCTTTCTAGTTGAGAAAAATTGATAGTAAAGATATTTACAATCCCTTTCAGTTGTGCTTTGATTGCACCTTAGATTGGGATTTAAACCTTATGCAGTCAAAATTTTATCTCCAACCAATTGTACAGATAACCAAGCAATGGTTGAGGGGTTTAAATAACAATACAACTAGGATATTAATTTTAGTGCATTTTATAGTTTGCTAAGTACCTAATACTACTTGCTTCAGTGTTGCCATGGTGATGCCAACGATTACATAGCTATTATCTCAACATATTCCATTGTTGCCATCACTATTGTATACATGGAGTCGAGTTTGATTAATTTTCCATTCTAAAACTGTCGAGTGATATAACTGATCATTAACAATCCCAGTAGTATCAGTAAGCACTACTGTGGTTCGCTCGACAGTGTCTCCCCTACCTTTCCTCTATCCCGTCTCCCAGTGTGATGGTTCGGTCAGTGAAGTGCCCATGGATACAGTGTTGGATACGCTCCTGGATTACGTGTGGATTACCCGTGCTATTTTGTGTCTGTGTCAGTGCAAAGTTAGTGTTTCGTGTTTCCCCCGTTATAGTGAACCAGGGTAAGTAGACCGACCTCTTCCTTTTCCAATAGTATCCTTTCCTTCTCTGTTTGGTTTAAGGTGCAGTTAAGTAACAGTCTTGATTGCATGCTTAGTTGTAGTGTTGTTGGATTCTTGTTCCAAGATTTTGCAAATAAGCATGCAACACTATATAAGAGCCACGGTTTGAAATAGAATATTCATTTTATACCACATATTTTGCAAAGTGACCATAGCTTATTGAACTTATTCTTCTGGAAATAACTTTGATGTACTGTTAGCTACTTATACTCGGGCTATCCATAAATTAGTTCAAATCTGTTGAGCTCTTGTCACCGCCAAGTGAGCCATTTTAAATCACCATTGGCATATTCTTTACACTAATATTTAAGTCGGTTCCTAATCATATACAGCAATGAGTCTCATGATAGCAGTTGTAAACGATGTGAAGGAAAAACAATGCTTCTGCTCCTACCATGTTCCATGTTCTAAGAAGAACCACACGTCTGTAGGAGGATAGTTTGATCATTTGTTTCTATCCAGACAGAATTAAAGTTGAGGAAATCTTGCTTACTGATTACATGTTTAAAGGTCGATTTTCGATTCACACACATCACTTACGGCATGTCACAGATCAGTCTCGTTTCATTCAAAAAAAAGTTCATTTCATATGCAAGTCTATCAGTTACTCTGCCGACGTCTGTCATTCAATTTCAGATTTCTTCCCACCTTTGACGTACGTGTTTGAGGTTAGCAAATAGTGTTTTTGTCATTTTATATTTTAAGTAGGTAGGTATTTTGTTTGTAACAATCGACAAGATGGATGATAAAAATTTGATAGAATATTGTGTTTGAATTAAAAATTCTTGACTAACATCGCTGTAAATAAAGTGACGGAAGACTGACTGAAACCAACTGACTGAGGAATTGCGGATGCAACTGAGACTGAACTGTGACTGGACCGAAGTGAGTGAATCAATCTGTAGACTATCATATTGTTGTCCTTGATAGGCTCAAACTACAGGACCCTTATCAGTTTGGCCATATCTCATTTAGTTATACCATGATCCGCATGCCGATTTCCTCTACATCATCCACGGCGACGGATGTCAATAGCGGTTTACGCCTCACCCCACAAACATGTAATCAAAGTGTGATTTGTACTTGGCCCTGCATTAATTTTCCTTTTTTAGTTTTTTGCTACTATGACCATAAGAGCGGGACCTGTCTAGAATCGTAGTGGATGATGTAATGCTTCTGTCTTGGTTTCAGATTTGAAGTACGGTAGTATGATTGTATGTAACAAGAGCTCAATGGATACCTTCTTTAATGGACATCCCTTGTTCAGCCTTTGGTGAACAAATACACAGAATTTATATTTAGAGACAAACATTCCATGACAATCATTTTACTATAGAAAATGCTTTAGAAACAGGTTTACAGCTGTTATAGTTCTAAGGCTGTTAATTTCTAGGGAGGGAATAATTAATAAGTGTACATCTTTCTTAGTTGGTATTCTTCACAATTACGGTTATACTATGTGCTGTAAGATAGGACTACTGTTATTTCATTGACGTTGTGATAAATAGAAAGCAAAATGTTATTTTTCCTACAAAACCATCTAATTTTGCATGTCAAGGGGTAAAGAGTTACCAGAATCTTTTTGATTCTAATATACCATGTAGGTGGGAATTGAAATGATAATGCTAATTTAAAACTCTCCTTTGGTCGCCTTTTTAAAACATGTTCCTCATTGAGGGTATAGCGCTAAATATAAAACAAAATAGGTCACAAAAACTAAGCATTTACTCCAATAAGAGGTTTTAAATAAAGTACAATAATTGTAATACGTCATCGGCCAATTTACCTACCTTCCGTTCCATGTGTATAGGCCTAACACAAGGTTACTTCAAGGTTATCTGTGATTGCTGGATATTAACATGTGTTTAATTAAATAGATGATACCTATTCTACAGTGTTGCGTACATCCGTAGGTACCAATATTTAAATCATTCACTACTTCCAAGAGGTAAGGAGACCCAAGCTTTACCTTAAAATTGAAACCATATTTTTTCTGTTAATTACAAGATTTCAAGGGTTATTAGGACTGAAGGTTTTCCTAAGGATAGTGATTCTGAGTCGCCAGAATTTTATCCCCCTGGAATTTTACCCCCTGGGCAAAGCTGACGTCACTATGACGTAGTAACCTATGACGTAGTGGCCAAAAGTTTGTTCGCGGCCGGAATTTTACCCCAGCGGATTTGAAATAATGAAAATAGTCAGAGCGTGATTATTTAGATTAGCGATAAAAGCCGGAATTTTACCCCCTGTCCATATAACTAGCGTTTAGACAACTGAAGATGTACGGGCCGGATTTAACCCCCGGATTTTCACCCCTGGAATTTAACCCCCGGATTTTCACCCCTGGAATTTAACCCCCGGATTTTTACCCCCCGGAATTTTACCCCCTGGCCAATTTTAGAAATTGAAGGATTGATTTTCTTATTTCTGTTTTTAATTAATTGTAAACATTTCATTATTTAGTAGCCTATTTTTATTTAATCATTTTTTAATCTCAACTAAGTAAAAAGAATTCGCTGTTTAATCTTGATGTTCGGGATTTGTTTTTGGGGCAAACGTACATTTCACAACATGTATTTTGATGACCTTTCTCAGTACAAGCCATTACAAGCTCATGGTTTGTGCCTGAAGAAACAATAAGGCATATTTTGTTATTGTTAAAATACAAACGAAAAACATTGTTTTACCTCGGTTGTATAATAAATCGTTAAAGAAATGTTCGAAACAATTATCATTCAGTTGATTGTTTATACGTCATTAAGGATTTACAGTCAACAGTCATATTAACCAACAGTTGGCTTCAAAAGATCGAATCCTAATAGCCTACTAGAATCTCAAAATTAAAATTGAAAACCTGTTCGATTAGTTAATGTTACAAATAAATTATGATGGTAAAAATCCGGTGGGTAAAATTCTGGGGGTAAAATTCCGGGGGTAAAAATCCGGGCCGCACACTCTAGGTTTTTATAATTTGACGTGTTCTGATAAATTCACAACCGTGAAAATATATGTTTAATTCCGCGTTTAATCCATCGAGCTGAAGTCGCGAAACTCAAAAGTTTGTGACCGGAATTTTACTCCCTGGTTTGTGACGTCACGTTTGCCCAGGGGGTAAATTTCCAGGGGGATAAAAATCCGCTACCGGTACCCCGATTCTTTAGGTAGCCTATGCCACCTACTATCCCATCCCATGTCTTAACCTAGGCTAAAAATTCTGTACAACTAAATAAGTATTTTAACTAAATAGCATTTTGAAAGAATTGTGTGTATTGTGCAAGTCCTCTAATAAAATGTCATTGGCAAAGTTTGCCCAGGGGGTAAATTTCCAGGGGGATAAAAATCTGCTACCCCGATTCTTTAGGTAGCCTTTGCCCCTGATTATCCCATCCCATGTCTTAACTTAGGCTAATATATTTTATTTAAATTCTATGCAACTAAATAAATACTAGTGGCTTGTAGGGACATAAGTCCCTAAAAAGCTCAAATGTAAAACAAATTATTGTAATATTTAAACAAACTCAGAATAAAATTATCTGTGTCTGAATAGATACAGTGCTACTAATAATACATTGGGGGAGCGAGCTGGTCTAGTGGTTAAAGCACGGGACTTTGGTTCCAGAGGTCCTGGGTTCAAATCCCGCCAAATCACCAATGGATTTTATCTATGTGATAATGCCGCAACCCCTTAGGTCTAGCCTGAAGTTATATGAAAAACAATTCTGGGGTCATGCCTAGCGTCCTAGGGAAAAAAAAAAAAAAAAAAAAAAACTATAATACATTAGTATACAGTATTAGTACCCTGGCCCATAGTTATTATTTCTAATCTTATGGCTCTACTCCTTTTGTAAAGGCGCAACTAAATTAGTGCAAATGCTGACCAAACTAAACCCTAGTTTCGATTCTGATAAGCATAAAATAGAAACTACTCTTTGTGTAAGCTTATGTGGTGGTATTGAGTATAGGAGTTTTGCCAACGGGTATCAGGTAGAAAGGGTCCCATCCATGAATTCCACATACTGCGGAGTTTTGCCAACGGTTGTGGGTTGCCCGAGAGGTGGAGGGGGAGAGAGAGAGGTTACACGTGACCGTGAGGGTGGCTTCCGCTAGGGGTGGACATTGGACAAACCAGGCAGGATGCTGACTGTGTTCAAAGTAATGGAGTTATGTAGGCCTACCTCTGACTGTGAAAGGAAATGTATTGAATTTTTAACCTAACTTAACCTAACCTAACCTAACCTAACCTAACCTAACCTAACCTA